AGAGTGAAAAACAATATACTTGTATGTATGTTGTGCTGTCAATAGTAAGCGAAGTAATTCAGACCCTGCAATTGTGTGTAAATGAGGCAGATCAGCAACCTGGGACTTGGTCACAATTTTGGTGATGACATAAGTTCTTTGACTTTTCCATTTTTTATTCACGGTTTCTGTGCTGGTTCATATTTATTTACTAAAGTGGTTAATGTTTTAAAGCAAATTCTATTGAAATATGAATGGCAAATGAACAAAAATGAATAGAGAAACTTAAATGTATGTTTTATTTCAATAGACTTTATTTACTATTAACCGACCTTTTGAATTATCCGTCGGACCCTTCCCCCCATATGTGGGCGGTTAATCGAGGTTTTACTGTAGTTTCATCAATTTTTTTTATTTTGGAAGGCATTACAGTTAACCCTCACTTTACGCGGTTAATGTAACCCGGAGGGTACCGCAGAAAGTGAGGAACGCGTAAAGTGAATAACATAACATATGGGATTAATTGAAATGGAGTCCGGGCCGATCCCCAAACTCCACTTTTTGACGACACACAACTATGTTGTAGTAAAAATTTTATCTTAACTTTATGATGGTATGAAAAAACAAGTAATATAGAAGAGGTTAGGTTAGGAAAGATAAAGGTTAACATAGGAAAAATAAAGGTAAGGTTAGAAAACTAAAAATTAGGTGTAACACTTACGGTAGTAGAAGAGATGGGTCGGCATACGGGGATGGAGGCTGGTTCCGAGGCAGAGGGCAGATTACTGGCCCTCAGGTGAATCACCATTACTAGGTGAATCACCATCACTGTCACTTACAGTTGTCAGGGCTTCCCTGACAAATCCCTCAAAGTCACCTTCACTGTCACTATCACTGGCTTGGGCTGGCTGTGGTGGGTTGCGGGCGAAGAAATCTGTTATGCTTTGCTGACGGCTGGCGTTGATGTTGTCGTGATACACCTTGATGTACGGCTCCATAGCCTGCACCAGCCGGGTATGGAAGACTTCATAGCGGTCATCGTCATTGTCGCGGGAAAGGAAGGACTTCATCTTCTCTGCACACTCCATGGCACCCTTAATATCACTATGACTTAAATTGTGTTCTTCGGAGACTGACGCACCTTCTTCCTCCTCTTCACTGACGTGTTCTTCTTCCAACATCTCGTCGGCAGTCACTTCAGGATCTCTGATCACCTCCAGGATGTCGTCGTTGGTGGTCTCGGAGAAGCCTGGAACTGTAACAGTCTGCGCAGCTTCTCTGGCAAGGTCCACTGCTACTGCAACATTCTGAACCTCACCAGTCACAGATTGACTCCTCCTCTCACCTGGTATTCCATGCAACACATGTCTCCATGCGTGACGAATTGTAGCAATAGACAGCTGATCCCATGACTCCACCAAGAAGTCCACAGCTTTCTTGATGTTAAATACTCTCCAGAATTGTTTGAAGAGTATTTTTTGCTGTTCTAACTGTTGATCCTCATCTTCTTCGCTCTTGCTATCGGTGGTGGTGTCACTCAGGTTACGCAACTCTTCCCTGGTGTTGGTGTAGTCGTTCAGGAGCTGGAATTTTTTTGTTGAGAATGCAGCTTTCACATTGCAAATCAACTCCTGGTCCATGGGCTGGATTAAAGACTTAGTGTTGGGAGGAAGGAAGACCACTTTTACGTTGGGGTGACGATCTAACAGTAGGGGCGAGTGTCCTGGTGCGTTGTCCAGCAGCAACAAAATATTAAATGGGACATTCTGTCGCTCACAGAATTTCTTTACATCGGGAACAAAACAGTCATCAAACCAGGAGAGGGACAGTGTAGAGAACATCCATGCCTTACGTGCGGTCAGCCAGTGGACATTTAGCTTGGTCATGTCCATGCTCTTGTAGGCGTGCGGCTTGCGGGCTGTGTGGATCACCGATAACTTGAGCTTACAGGTACCGGAGGCATTGGTGGTAAACAGGACGGTGATGCGTTCCTTCTGCATTTTCCGGCCCCGAATCCTGCTGGCATTCTTCACAACGAAGGACTTGGAAGGTAGCTTTTTCCAGAAAAGACCAGATTCGTCCATGTTAAACACCTGGTCGTCACTGTACTGTCCTTCCTCCATAATCTCACGTAAAAACGGAGGAAATTCCCGAGCCGCAGCACGATCAGCACTCGCTTCTTCACCACCAATGTTTATATTGGTGATCTTGTTCCGGATCTTAAACCTCTGTAACCACCCAGAGGAAGCATTAAAGGGTTTGGGCTCTGAAGTTCCCATCTTTCGTGCCACTGCCATGTACAGTTCACGTGCGTAGTCCTTAACAGAGCGCGTGTCGACCGCCATGTTCCGTCGCGCCTGACGCACCAAGTACCTCACAAGTAATTTTTCTGTCTTGAGAAGCACCTGGTTGTGAAAATACTTGATCATAGAAGCACCTGTAGACTTTGTGATCTTCATGTGCTCCTTTATCTTGGCTGAATCCTTCTTTATAGTCCGGATCGTAGATTCGTTCACGCCATGCTGGCGCGCCAAATCAACCTGCCTTGTTCCTTTCTCCAACTCTTGGATGATGCTATACTTCACCTCGTAGCTTAAGGAACGTCGTGTCTTCTTTGGTTTAGTGCCGCTGGGTCCAGGTAAGGAAAGGTTTCTCTCTGGGGGTGGTGGTCCGGCGGAAGCCATTTTACGGAACAATGGATGCGCGTTTACACGGAGTGGCCTTGAGGGATGAAACTGCTGCGGCTAGGTCAAGCGTCGTCTTTTCTCCCTCCCTCCCTCCCCCGGGTGGACACGTCATAATACTTTAAGCCAATTACAGCTAGCAGCAGGTCTGATACGTCATATGACGTCAATGATAACGCAACAAAGACACACACTGCGCAACCTTACCGCGCCGCTTGCCCAAGCGGAGGGAGGAGGAGGGAGAGGCAGGCAGGCAGTCGGGCGGGCGGGCGGGTGGGGCGAATCTAAAAATAGCGTCGCGCCGGACACTCTCCGCGTAATGGGGTTCACGTACCGCGTAATGTGAGCACGTGAGGTTCTGGCAAGGCACCGCGTTAACGTGGAAACGCGGAATGCGGGACCGCGTAAAGTGAGGGTTAACTGTATTAATTTTTGTTGGAATCAAGGACATTCAAGTCCAATGTATTTACAATTGATTCTATCATACTTGTCGATAAAATATAGAATAACCATGTAGAGCACTGCTATTAACCCGTACGCCCCGGTTCACATTCCGGAATGTCCATCTAGGGCGCCCCTGTTGAGCGTTCCAAGACGCCCACCGTTTCGCGGCATCGTTTGATTGCCCAGTGCGGGTTATTACGTTCCAGGGTAACAATTTGCCTGTCATGCCACACGCTCAGCCACAGGGAGGCTTCCTGAATGTAAGTACTGTGCCTACTTTTGTTTGTTTCATTTTCATTGTTTGTCCATTTTATCATGTTGTATCAAAGTAATACGTATTGCTAAAAGTGGTGTACAGTAGTTGTATTGTAGTGTAGTATTACTGGAAAATACAGTAATACCCCGATTTACGCGGTCAATTGAACCCACAGGGTACCGCGGAAAGTGAAAACCGCATAAAGTGACGAACAGAACATATGGGATTAATTCCAATAGAGACTGGCCCGACCCCCAAACTCCACTTTTTCCGACACAATACCTATGTTGTAGTAAAAATAACATCTAAATTTTATGATGGTATGCTCACACAATTAATATTTAAGAGAAATACAGTTGCCAGGTTAATGTCCATTCAAATACTGGACTCAAATCCCCCCCCCCCTCTTCCCAGCTCACTAGCTCCTACCTCTCTGATTAATGTTTGGGTGAAAACTCTAGATTTTAACGTTTAGTAATAAATAATACCTCAGACTAAAGTTAGGATAATATAATTGACATTTCTGGATTTCTTGCAGGTCAGGGAATATTTTGAATGTAAACTTCATATATTTTGCACAAAAGATAAAATATTTGCTTTGTGTAAACCAAATTATTACTTTAGATCTAAAATTTGTATGTCTAATGCAAAATCCATGATGTTTATATTCAAAATGATCATCATATTGTAAGAATTCCAGCAATGTAAATTATATTCTGGTCGAGTAATTTGTATGAATTTTATGAGCTAAAACAAATATCTTCAGTTAATAAAAAAAAATATTCTTCACGACACTATCTGTCAATCAAAGTACCCCACCTTGCCTCCCCACTTCCTCACACTCACGCCAGCTGGGTCAGTCGGTCCCAACCCTCCCCCCCACCCTCCACCTTCCCTCCCTACCAGAGAAATGTTGGGTGAAAATACTAGATTTTAACTTTTAGTAATAAATAATACCTCAGGCTAAAGTTAGGATAATATAATTGACATTTCTGGATTCCTTGCAGGTCAGGGAATATTTTGAATGTAAACTTCATATATTTTGCACAAAAGATAAAATATTTGCTTTGTGTAAACCAAGTTATTACATTAGATCTAAAATTTGTATGTCTAATGCAAAATCCATGATGTTTATGTTCAAAATGATCATCATATTGTAAGAATTCCAGCAGTGTAAATTATATTCTGGCCGGGTAATTTGTATGAATTTTATGAGCTAAAACATATATCTTCAGTAAATAAACAAAGAAATATTCTTCAAGGACACTATCTGTCAATCAAAATACTCCCTACCAGAGAAGCTTTGGGAGAAAATAGTATATTTACATTTTTAGTAATAAATAATAACTCAGACTAAAGTTAGGATAATATAATTGACATTTCTGGATTCCTTGTAGGTCAGGGAATATTTTGAATGTAAACTTCATATATTCTGCACAAAGGATAAAATATTTGCTTTGTGTAAACCAAATTATTACACAAGATCTAAAATTTGTATGTCTAATGCAAAATCCATGATGTTTATATTCAAAATGATCATCATATTGTAAGAATTCCAGCAATGTAAATTATATTCTGGCCGGGTAATTTGTATGAATTTTATGAGCTAAATAAAAAATAAAAAAATTATACTTCACCTTGTGAGTACTGTATATGAGTAGATGCACCTGAGTAGACGCGGAAAGTGAACGTCTGGTTCTGGCAAGGTACCAAGTCTGGTTCTGGCAAGGTACCGCGTAAATGAGAAATCGCGGAAAGTGAAACCGTGTATAGCGGGGTAATACTGTAATGCTATGATTATGTTATAAATATATTTATTTGTGGAATTATTATTCCGATAATTATTTATGTGTATTACTTGCTCTACCAAACAGAAAGACAGCCTGGTGACAGACTGCTTGTGTGTCGCCGAGCACTTTTTAAGAAAAATAATGCAAATACAGTATAATACTGTATTCTAAATGATTTATTTATAGGAAATAAGTTTTATGATCAGTAAATATATGCATTACTGGCCATTCTGGACACAAAGGCAAGTCGAAAATGGCAGCTAAGTGCGTAGTGACCACGAGCATCAGCTGACAAAACAACACTGTCCCCTATCTCCCTCGCCACTGCTGCCCCAGGGAAGTTTCCAGAGGGTCAATATATATTTTTCTTTACTCCTTTTTTATTGCTTTATCATTTAAAAAAGGTTAAAAATTATTTTTTTTTAAATTTGATTTTTCTCGATTTACCCCGCATGGGGTATACAGCCAGAGGCACCCTAGCCCGGGGCGGAGAGTTTAAACATATGGAAACCCTTGATACTTTCCATCTATAATGAAAGAAAAACCCTGAAAAATCACATATGCAAAAACTGGCAAATGTGTTAGGACCTGCCAACTATCTGGTACAGGTCACCTGGCATATTTGGACTTGTTAAAATATGAAATTTAGGCTATTAAATATTCATACTAATACAATATCTATTTTGGTAGTGTTGGGCAATTATTTATTGCTCTCATTACAAAATTTGGGTCGACATTATTCCCGTTAAGTGAGGTCATTCACCATCCCAGATGGAGCAGCTCTCACCACTCTCCAATTAGGCCACTTACTCACAGATACCTGTACTCACAGATGATTTTCTGGAAGAGGCTCACGCCTGTGACTCCAGCTCAATATCCTCTTCTCTACTCAGACGGTGGCTGTGTGAGGCGGATATTTGTGCCCTATAATTATATACTTGTTCTTGATTTATCTAATTTTGCTTCAAACTTTTCCACCGTCTCCACATTCACTACCCACTCAGGTAACCCATTCCAGTTGTTGACAACCCTACTCGGGAACGAATGTCTTCTGAGATTTAGCCTCGCTCTTGTTTTGTAGATCTTCTTTGTGTTCCCCCGGGTAGTGTCATCCTCCCTCATCTGGAACATTCCTGCTGTACATGCCTGGTCATATATGCCACACACTCTCTTGTATGTTTCCACTTGGTCCCCACGAGATCTTCTGTACGCCAGTGTTGGTAAATGTAATTTCCTTAGTCTTTCCTCATAAGATAAATCCTTGATCTGTGGTACTAATTTGGTAGCCCTCCTCTGTACATTCTCTACTGCTTCTATATCCTTAATGAGATATGGGCACCAAATTTGATTAGCATACTCAAGGTGTGGCCTAACCAGAGCAGTGTACAGAGCCTTGAATATAGGTGCATCCAGATGAACAAAAGTTCTTCTAATAATGCCCACTATTTTAGTAGCCTTGTTGATTTTCTCAGCTAGATGGTCAGAGAACATCAGCTTATCATCTATGACTACCCCTATATCCTTCTCTGCAGTGGTCTTCTTGATCGTGGTGTACATATGATATCCCTGGTCAGCAACTTTTGTTCTTCCTATCCTCATGTATTTACTTTTTTCTGGGTGAAAGTTCAGCATCCACTTCTCAGTCCAACCCCTGATCCCATCCAGGTCCTCCTGCAGCGTGTCACAATCCTCATCTCGTTCTATTTTCCTAAAAATCTTTGTGTCATCCGCATATAGATATACCTCACTGTCGTGTTCAATTGCCTCAGGCAGGTCATTAATAAAAAGGACAAACAGCAGGGGGGGCCGAGGACAGAACCCGGAGGGACCCCATTAGTGACCTCTCTCCAGTCAGATACTTCTCTATTTACCACAACCCTCTGTTTTCTCTCAGTTAAAAAATTCCTCACCCAATCAAGATATTTTCCATCAATGCAATAACTAGATACTTTTATAGTCTTTTGTGGGGTACTCTATTCAAAAGCCTTCATGAAGTCACAATACACTACAGTATGTCCACAGCCTGACTGTCATCGATAATGTCCGTCCACCTGTCTAGTACCCTAATCAACTGTAGGACTGTTTACCTGCCGGAAATGAAGCCAAACTGTTTATTACTAAACAATCCATATTTTTTCACATGGGACATCATCTCTTCCCGTAATATTGACTCCATTAAATTGCAGATTACACTAGTTAGACTGACTGGCCTGTAGTTTCCTGGTTCACTTTTACTTCCCTTCTTATAGATAGCTGTGATACAGTATATGCAATACACCAGTCCTCAGGTATATTTCCTTCTTGAAAAGTTTTCAAACAAGATCCTCAGAAGCTGAAGTAGTTCCTCCATCATCTCTTTAATGACTCTTGGATGTAACCCATCTGGACTGGGAGATTTTTGTCTTTTCAATTTTTTAATCACCTTTCTTATTTTGTCTTCAGTTACCTCCAGGTGTTGAAGAGCTGGCACATCTTTCTTGTTGGCTGTTGGTATCCCCCTTTCTGGTTCCTTGATGAAAACTCGTGAGAATTGCTCTGAGAGTACATCTGCCTTTTCTTGATCATTCACAGTCTTCTGTACTTTTTCCTCATCCTTGTAAAGATCTGCAATTCTAGCTTTTGTTCATGTTTTTGTCTGTACATACTTCCAGAACACTTTTGGATTTGCCTAAACATATTTTGCAATCTCCTGTCCTTTGCGTTTCAAGATGTTTCTAGTTTCCCATCTGACCTGGTTATTTAGTCTCTTGTATTCCTTTTCAGTTTCCAGATACATCTCCCTTGTGCATGCTCTTTCATTGAACTTCATTTACATTATTTTCAGTCTCTCCCACAGTCTCTGTTCTTTCTTCACTTTAGCCCAGAGCTTCCTGTTCATAGGTAATATTTCATTTGTTCTTTTTCTGATAACCCTCAGTCCTCTGATTATCTTCCTAGGGACACACTCGTCAATGACTGCCTGGAATTTTCTTTTGAACTTATTCCACTTACTTTCAATATCGGTTCCAATGATAAGTATTAGATCCAGTCCATCATAAGCCTTTGCTTCATGAGTAGGTAATCTGCTTTTTCATACATGTACACTTGTTTTTTACTTAAGTCTTCCATCTCCTGTATGTCACAATGGAAATAAATACAGGCATGGTCACTCTTTCCCAGTGGACGCTCCAGCTTGATATCTCCTACTATAGATTCTTCGATACTGAACAACAGGTCAAGGGTATTGCCTGTGCTGTCTCCTCTTATCCTGGTGATTTCCTCTTTATGTTGAGTGAGAAAGCAGTCCGGTACTTTCTCAATGAACATGGTACCAACATCATTCAGTCCCATTACAGAAGTATAATTACTCCAATTTATTTGTGGAAGATGAAAATCACCTACAATTATTTTATACAGCACATTTTTATCATTGACTTCCTACATAAGTTGGAGTAAATTAGTATTATTGCTTTCATCACTATTAGGGCTTCTGTAAATGGTGGTAAATAGTAAATTACAACTATTACATGGCACTTCTATACAGCAATATTCACAAAACTTAGTATCGAGTTCAACACTGTAAAATTGGTTCCTTTCCTAATATATATTAACATACCTCTCCCTTCCTTATTAAGGAGATTTTGCTCTATAATGTCATATCCTTGTAGGTTGTATTCTGCTGTAATCCGTTCATATCTGTAGTGTTTTGGCTTTACCTCCTGTAGGGCTATTACTTGCGGAGTATTTTCCATCTCCTTCAACTGTGCATTTAACTCTATCAACTTGTCTGAACTCAACACATCCACATTACTAAACATTATAAGAAATTTACCTACATTAACATTTTTTTTCTTGTTTTTTCCTCACTACTTCTCTTAATCCTCTTGGACCCCTATTTTGATAACTCATCGCCTCCACGGAGGACCCACCACTCTGTCTCCCCCCTTCCCGGAGTCCATTAAGTTTTTTGCATCCTGCCATAAGACAGCTTCATGTTCTCTCTCCCTTTTTGTTAAGTCATTGGCTATTCTTATGTCTTGGAAATTCATGTTACCTTGCAGGTTCCTGATGTTTCTAAATAGGTTGGCCTTTATATCTGCAGTAGATAACTTGATTAGCATAGGTCTAGCCTTTCCCTGGATAAATTTACCCAGCCTAATCACTTTAACTATTGTCTCCTGGCCACTAGTGATGCCACATTCTTTTATTAGATTCAGTGCATAAGATTTGTCACTCTCTATCCTTTTGCTTATTGTTGGGGATCAAGATTCTGGCACACCATATACCACTATGTTGTTTTCCCTCTTCTTTCTCTCACTTAGTTCCTCTATAAGTTCACCAACAGGCTCTGGTTTCCCTGTGTTGTCTTCCTGCTTCACTTCAGTGACACTACCTGTTGCCCTGCTAGAATCTACTTTCCTTTCTAAATTCACTGTTCTAGCCTCCAAGGTTCCCAGTCTGTTTTCAAAATCCGTCATTCTTAGCATTTCTTTCCAACACATCATTTATTTAAACAGACTTTGCCTCCAATATACCCAGCCTGTCTTCTATCTCCTTATTCTTATCGTGTTCTTGTGCTGTAAATTCTCTCAGTTGATTTACTTTGCCGTCCAATTCATTTTGTTTGGTCATTTGTTCCACCTGTTGTCGTTCAATTCTTTTTATGTACTGTACTTGTGCAGTTTAGCACAACCCTTCTTGCAGTGACTGCAGTACCACATCAACACTCCTTCTGCCTCCTCATCTTGCATGAAGTTATATACCTCTTCTCGTAATTTTTCACATTCGATGTGGAACCACACTTCACAAACATCACAGCTAACTGCTTTGTCACTATCCTTGATTGTTAATCCACATTCTCCACACTTCTCGGTGTTCTTCTTTCCGCCATGTTTGTTGACACTTTCCTTCCTCCTCCTGTCCCCTGAGTCCTTGGTCTCACTCATTTTGACTTCTTCTTTATTGTATACTGTATACAAAAATTTGATGGGCTTACCTTCCTGTATGCCTCCGTATATTCACAGAACTGCTTATATACTTAACTTCCACTTATGTTCCTTTGTTATTCATAAATTTAGGCAAATTACAAGAGCTCTATCCGTCACCGCCACCAAACATATTTGTATCCCATTTTAAGAGGTGCTGGGGCCTTTTTTCGTCCACGTTTGTTACGACATTTTCTGCATAGTGTTGGAGTCTCACTGCGGGAGTTATCAGCATTGGAACCACTTCCTACACTTGAGGTATCATCCGTAAACAAGTTGTAGATCACCTCGGCCGGTAAAGTGACGGCATTGATGGAGAAGGTTGTTGGTGTTGTCCTGAGATACAGATAAAGTGTTATAAGTGTTATGCTTTGTTATCTCCAGTTCCAGGTCGAGGGTGGAGGGAGGATAGTGCTTGCTGTCTTCATAACAACTACCATAACGAGTTTTTTTTAGATAAATTGATTTTCATGCATTTCCTACACATAAATTATTTGGATTAGTTATCTTAAAGGCTTACCTTTAATGATGGTTAGGAGAATTTGGAGAATACAAGCGGTGATAAGGCGAGAAGAGGCTGGCGGATGTTCGAACACAAACATGAAATTCTTTTAAAAAGAAATCTAAAATTCTTCATACTGTATGCTGTTTCATATGATGGATATCTTATAAAAAATAATAATTCTTTACAGATTCCTACAATTTATGTACATCCACTTCTATTTCTTTTCTTTTGGTTTCAAAATACAGTATAATACAGGTAGTTCCATCATAGTATGCATTGGGCGGGGGTGAGAGCACTATGGAAATTGCAGACATTCCAGTGATAAATCGCACAGTTTTTTAAGCATTGAGTGATTCTTGCAAAACGCCATCACGATACCAAAGCATCTTGTACACGATGGCAGTTCTTGCATATGGTCCTGTGTCCTAAGTGTGGAAGCTGGGCTAGGTTGTATATATTATAGGCTACCAGTAGGCTACCAGTAGGTTAGGTTAGGTTTTCTTGGTGTTTTATGGTGTGTTTTACTCAAACCTAACTGCAATTTTTGTTACAAATTGTACAATTTAAATATTTTGTAAAAAACACTACCATAATTTCCACAAGAAATGGAGGTTAGTTTTGAGTAAAATGCACCATAAAACACAAACACAAAAAAATACGTATTCTTCTATCAAAACCTAAGGACAGCCAATGAACAAATATTTACCCCAATGGAAATGGAGGTCAACAAATTTGTAAGAATCAGACCAAATACCGTGGGAAAAACACAAATTTATGGTCGAACAGTAGTTGAGGCTGAAACTGCAAATTTACTAGCTTCTGTGAGCATCAGTGAGTATAGATTGACCCTAATCACAGTGCGGTGCTGGACATCTTGTACTCAAGCAAATCGTACCCATCAGAACATGTCAAGTAGTATCCCAATTACAAGATAACTTGTACCCAATTTGCGAGACAGTTCGTACCCATATATATATACTATATATATATATATATATATATATATATATATATATATATATATATATATATATATATATATATATATATATATATATATATATATATATATATATATATATATATATATATATAAATATATATATATATATATATATATATATATATATATATATATATATATATATATATATATATATATATATATATATATATATATATATATATATATATATCAAGAGAAATCCACCATATGCAGGAAGAAAATTAATTAAACAAGATCAAAATTAGAATGCTCGTATACGCTGATGAACTGGATATAGTAAGCAACAACATCCAAGAAGTAGATACACTGGCAACAACCTTTAAGGACATAGCAAATTCAACAGGACTTGAGATAAATGTGGATAATATCAACACGATGATCATGGAAAGAAACGAAAGGCAAAACCCACAACGTATCTGTATAAGTTGAATGAATATTTTAAAAATCGAGTCCTTTAAATATCTTGGATCACTTATGACATAAGAATACTGTACAAGATTGAAGAAAAAAATATGTAAAAACAATGTAAATTATAGTCACGATTGGAGCCGGTAATAAATGCTACTAGTCTTCTGGGCAGAATAAACAAAGATCCGTATCAAGAAAAACAAAGCTGAGAATTTACAACACAATAGTATGTCCAGTTCTTACTTACGGTTGTTAATCATGGGATACATTTCTGCAAATTTGTGAGCCTCATTTCTGATGTCGTCATTATCCACTTGGCGGCATTCTATCACTACTCTAAACCGATTGTGTACATTTTTATAGACAACCATTCAAGTCTCCAGCCCGCATAATATAGACTCTGGAGAAGTGTTGTCGCCAACATGCCGCTATCGTTGTCTGACTGTGGTTACTTTGTATTCTGCAGTACTTACATAAAGCTTGAGCTTCCATCTAAAAAAAATCAAAGCATGAGTTGGGTATGAGTTATCTCGTGAGTTCGGTATGAGTTATCTTAGAGACAAGTTGGCGTGGGTACCGAGTTTACTTTTTTTAGTAAGATTTATCTTGGGTATGAGTGGTCTTTGGTACCCATCACAGTGGACTCTTAAACACCAACACAATTATTTTACATGTAGCCGAAATTCATTTAATGATATCCGATTTTTAAATACGAACCATGTTTTTGTTTTGTAGTCCTACGTACGAAGTTGCACACTTCAAACCCAAGCGGCAAACGAGTAACGAGCCGACCAGTAGCGACGACCGCGACCGGCGAAGAGTAAAGCTTTGAGTGAACTTCTAACCCTCCAGGCACCAAGTGTCCTGTTTGTAAACAAATAAGATAGGGATGATATATGTAAATATTTTAATCGTAGAAACTATAAATATTTTGAGCAAATAAAACAATAGTTTTAGAAACAAATATTAAATCTTTTATTATTATAAATAATAAAGTATATTAAAATACCTTCCCTTAATTCTAAAATTGTAATTTCTGAGCTTTTCACGTGAATTTTTAATTAAGGTTAATAGTTTATATAAATTTAAATACATTTTTGACTTTCTTCTATTTGAATTTACCATAAACGTATAAACTGTAATATAAAACAAAAACTTGTTAAGAGTCCTATTAAAGCTTTATGATAAGGTATGAATTTACTCCTTACAATCGAATATAACGATTATTACAGGTTATCTGAGATTTTTTATTTTTATTGGTAAATGTCACGCCATTTCATACAGTTTTAAAAGACAAAGTAGAAAACACAACGTTTGTTAGAAAGCAGAAAAATAAAATTATACATTTATTTTAGTGGCTCATCCGTCTATTTACATAATTTGTAGTACATATTTAAAGTTTCTCTTTGAGATTTTCCAACAGCGTTCGTCAAGTAGATAAGAATTTAATAACATTATCAGGAAAACACTATTAATTAGTATAAAGTCGAAGTTTCTTCTAGCCGGTATGGTCTGAAGATTATGCTTACTTCCGAATCATAGCATTTATACTTTATTTATTAAAATTGATAAAATTTATAAATTTTGATTAATATTTGCATTAATACCTTCATAATATTTAACTATTTGAAATTTCTGATTACTTTGCGAACTTAAGGTGCTTCGTACTTGATTTCTTTTCATCATATCACTATAGTGTAACCCGTATGTTAATTATAGTGTTGTTGTTAGTGACAGAGCGATTTAGTTGGGTCGCTTGCTCGTCTCTCTCTTCACAATGGTATGTATGTTCTTTGCCTAGTGTATTTGCCTTTACATTTAACTTCGTATTGCCCTGGTGAGCAGATAGGCATAGCGAGTATAGAACAGTGCTATGATAAACATGAAGCCCTAATCAAACAAAGAGTATTAGAGAGAAAAAAAAATAGGGCTGCTTAACCCTAAACCAGCGAAGAATGACGAAAATGATTCCGGGACTTAGAAACCTTCCCCATCAAGTTAGATTAAAGAAACTAAACATGCATTCCCTAGAAAGACGAAGAGTGCGGTGAGATATGAAAGAAGTATTTAAGTGGGTGAAAGGAATCAATAAAGGAGATATACTGTAGATAAAGTTCTTGTGTCCGAGCAGGATAGGACTCGTAGCAACGGAGTTAACTTGGATAAGTTCGAGTTAAGGAGGATATAGGAAGAAACTGGTTCACAAATAGGGTGGTGGATGAGTGGAACAAGCTGGGAAGTTTTAAAAGGAGGCTAGATAGATTCATGAACGATAGAGAGGGGAGCCACGGATTACCCAAAAGTGCCCAAAAGTGCCCAAAAGTATAGCAAATAAGGGTAAAATCTTAACGAATATCTGTTATACATACACAAAACATGTTTAATAATATTTTTAGTGTAATTTTGTAAAAATAATCTAAGATGAAATAATAAGCAGCAAAAAACTTTCAGTATTGGCGAATGTTAAATTCCAGAGTTCGCGAACAAGGGAGATAATTCAGATCCATCGTGATGCACTTCGCTAACCTAGCCTAACCTAACCTAACGAACAGTAAATCCTACGGCTATGTTAAATACCCCAAAGTAACAGAAACATTGGTAATTATATCTCCATTTTGGATAGGTGACTCATTGAAATTTAGCGTTTTTTGCTGTTTATTATTTCATTATTTTGACTACATTTCAATGAAAACATTATTAATCAGGTTTTATTGATGCAAAACATATATTCGTTGAGATTTTACCCTGATTTAATATACTTGTGGGTACTTTTGGGTACTTTTGGGTATATTTGGGTACTTTTGGGTAATTCGTTGGACCGATAGAGAGTGGTTGTAACTCATGACAGGATTTACCATGCACAGACCAACCGGCCTATTGCAGACTCCTTATTTTTTATGTTCTTATGTATTACCTGTGACAGTAAAGTTGTTACGTACAAAGATATAACTATAGGCTATATATCTTTACTCATTAATTTAATTTTTCAGAGTATCTTAAACTACAATGGAGGGTGTGTGGTTGCCATGAAGGGCAAGAACTGTGTGGCTATTGCCTGTGATCTTCGTTTTGGTGTCCAGGCCCAAACCATCTCGACTGACTTTGAGGTAATTGTCAGAATCTTTGGTATTTGTTTACTGTCAGTCACACTAATTTTGCCATGCTCTCTAGTGGTATAACTTCAAAATATCCAAGCATCTCACAGAGGCGCAATTAACCAAAAGTAAACATTCCCAGCAAAACGGCAGTGCTTAATCTTGATATGGGTAACTCCTGGTAAAGTTTTAGGTAAATTTTTAGTCATGCACTGGTCTTTTTCTTGCTGTTATTAATATGTATTTTGTAATGTTTAGACAATTCTAAGATATTTTCTTCTATGATATTTCCGCCGGAAATTAAGGATAACCGAGATATTAGTTTGTCAATATTATCAGATATCCTCAGTCACAAGTGTCGCCATGATTTGTTTACATATGGTACCGGTCTTTCTTTTGATATTAGAAATATGTTTTTCCAATGGTATTTGATGAGTTTCGAACGAATTTGATATTCATTTCCGCTGGAAATCACTAGTTTTTTGTAGACCCCCCTCTCCCCCCAACAGTCTTAACAGAAAAAGTAGGATTATTTTCGAGTAAATCCAAAATAAAGTACCAACCAACAAAACCTAACCTAACCCCCCTTTGTCCATGCCTCCTCCCCCCCCCCATTTTGGACAAAAATCCCTTCCCCAATAATAAGTTTCCTATCGCTATAGCCACCCCTGCACATGTACTGTAGACGCTTAAGACCTTCTCCGCCCGATGTAAACAAATCATGGCGACACTTATGTCTGAGGAAATCTAATAATGTTGAAAAAGTAATATCTCGATTATCCTTAATTTCTGGCGGAAATATCATAGAAGAAAAATGTCTTAGAATTGTCTAAACATTACAAAATACATAATAATAACAGCAAGAGAAAGACCAGTGCATGACTAAAATTTCACCAATTTTTACTTTAGGACATGAGTCCCTATGGGTTGACCAATGTGTTTTTCTAGTGTATTTTGTTGTCTTTTAAACGAATCTGACCTTCATTTTTGGCGGAAATTGCTCTTTGCCCCCCACCAACAATAAAGGCGGAGAGCCTGGGAAATCGGGGTTTTTGAGCGGGGGAGAAAACGAGTCATCTAACCTAACAAAACCTAAGGTAAAGGTGTAGTTTAGGGCTAACACCAGGAATTTGTTGATTTATTTTATTTTTACTCTGTTCCTATTGTTTTGATGATTTTAAGTACAGTGGGGTATGCTATAACGAATCTAATTGGTTCTAGAACCTTGTTCGTTATAGCATTCGTTCGTTATAGGATTAATCCGTTCCAGGCCCCCAAATACAACCACTTAACACTGAAAAATATAATATAAAATTGTAAAAATTGTAAAAAATTGCATAAATATGCATCTAAACCCCTGAAATAAAGAATATCATTAATACTTGTAATAAAAAAAAACAATAAATTAGTAAAAAAAAAAATTCGTTGTAGGAGTTTCGTTCGTTATAGGAATATTCATAGTAGAATCCATTCGATATAGCATACCCCACTGTACTGTATATTAAAAGAAACGACAACTTTTTACTGTAGTGTTGTTTTAAGTATTTTTATTTTTTATTTACTCTATCCCATTTCACAATTCTCCTCCCGGCGCCATTTTTGTTGTTTACCTTGCTGAATCCCTCCTCAAGAGACATTTCTTATTAATGATGGTGAACTCTTCCACGTATACCTAATAAAACCTGACCTAACTTACCCAACCTATGGGTATGTTAGGTCAGGTTCTATTAGGTTCTTTGCATTGTCGTTTCCATTTCTGTGCTTATTAGCATGCTATTAGTGTGTAGAAAAAATTTCAACCAAATCAACAAACAACTTTTGGTGTTAGCCCTAAGCTACACTTTGACTAAATCTAACCTAACCCCCGGTAGGCCTAGCTTAAACTAACCTAAATGTTTCAATAGTTACAAAACTTTGGGGCACACCATGTCTGAAGTACAATACCTTAGAAGTGGAAAGACCAGGGATACGTAAGAATTGGATAGAATGATCGTCATTCTCGTAAGACTCAGCAATGCAGTCATGCGCCGGTTAACGTCTGACCGAACAGCGTCCGATCGCATATACGTCCGTGGCCCCCCCCCCCCAAAAAGTGACGCCTGCTGGACCACCACTCCACGACCCCCTGACGAGACATGGTGATCCTCCCCATACTGGTCAGATATTGTGTTAAAGGAATATGCTTCCTTACTTAGGCCTTTTTAAGCATTTGCCTACAGGTGAAATGTGAACCTACATCTATTTAGGATAAAATCTTTCACCTACAAATTGACAATATAACACATTTGCTGTAATCAGACATATCTAGTTGCCTCAACAATTGCAACCCCAGTTGCAATTGGGGTTGCAATTTCAAATTCTGTGGCATTACTAAAAATAGTAAAGTTTCTGGTGCACTCTAAGATTAAGAGAGAAAACGGAGGACTCACGCGTCCTGATGTGAGAGAAAACGGACTCGAATGACGGGGGACCAAATAAAAAAAGCATAGCTACATGTTTTGTGGACTACAGTATTAAGCGTACCCTTTTCATCACTTTGTAATAAACCTAGCCATGCCCATGTGTGTTTATGATATTTACCATAACATTATATATATATTTAGTGGGTCTTAATGGTCGTAAAATGGGAAACTTGGGGTTGGGTCTTGGGTAAATGAACCAATTAGAATAAATCCCATAGGTTCTGTACTTTCATTATCGGTGGGGTCCCAATTAGGCGCGATAACCAAGGGATGACTGTACTGTACTGTATATACTTGTGACACTAGCCAGTTGCTTCTGGTGTTATGGTACAGGGGTACCAAGTGACAGCACTAGGATCCCGCTTCCTCTATCAAGGAATAAACAATTAAAATTTAAATTGAAAAAAAAAACATTCAAATAAATTACTATCTTACAAGAATCCCTCCAATGTAAGTTATATTCACCCAGGTCGTTTGGGTGGAAAATTATGAGAAGAGCTTAGTCACTCTTAAGTAATGATAAATAAACACGCAGGCAGGCCTTCAGCGCCAACTGTCAAATCTTATCTCAAATAAATAAACAAACAAACGCCAGACATTCTGTCACCTCACCTCCCGCCCCCTCCCTCCCAGACAAAAGATTGGTGATTTCTTTGTTTATTTTATATAATATCTCAGACTAAAGTTAGGATAATATAATTTGCATTGCTGAAATCCTTGCAAGACAGAGATTAATTTAAATATAAGCATCATATATTTTGCTCAAGATATAAAAAATGTAGTACATTAGTGTACAATACTGTAGTACATTTTATAAAAAGTTTTTCAACTGTATTTTTGGGTAGATTTACATAAATTTCTTCATTTATTTTCATCCATTTACATGCACACACCATACTAAAATAAACGTAAAAGAAATAAATGACCTTAGTGCAAAGCTGGAGTGCACATGTACTAATTTGATTACGGTACTAAAATTGTTATGTCTAGTGCGAATTACAACATGTTTATATTCAAATAAATCAGTATCTTACAAGAATCCCAGCTATGTTAATTATATTTTCCTAGGTCATATCACTGGCATTTTAAAAGGAAAGAAGCTTAGTAGGACTGTTAAATAAACACACAGAGACCTTCACCTCAAACTTATCACCTCAACCCCCCCAACCCCTCGCTGGGTGGCGGAGCCATCAGTCCCTCCCCCCAGCCAGGCTTTTAGGCTTACAGTTTTTATCTTATATAATATCTCAGACTAAAGTTAGGAGATTATAATTTGCATTGCTGGAATCCTTGCAAGACAGCCAATAATTTGAATATAAACGTCATATATTTTGCTCAAGAGAAAAAAATTTTTGTACATTAGTGTACAATACTGTAGTACATTTTATAAAAAAGTTTTTCAACTGTATTTTTGGGTAGATTTACATCAATTTCTTAGTGCAAAGCTGGAGTTCTCATGTACTAATTTGATTACGGTACTAAAATTGTTTTGTCTAGTGCAAATTATAGCATCTGCTCGGCTTTGCTGGAATCCTTGTAAAACAGTGAATAATTTTAATATAAACGTCATGTATTTTGCATAAGAGATAAAAATTAATCACCTGTATCACATTACAGTAGCCTTTTTAACAGTAAGAGTGTATATGTACGTATATAGTATTTCACATACACATAAGTATAAATAAAAAGTTTGTGATGATCGGACAACGTCCATTTCGGTTAACGTCACGTTTCCAAGAACGTATCTAGGACGTTAACCGGCGCATGACTGTATACTTGAAATAATCGTAGGGGGGCACAACTGACTTCCAGCCTACACCACGGCCATTGTGAGACTGGTCAATGAAATTACCCAGGCTGTCCTTTGAAAAAATCAAATGTAATTGGTCGAAAAAAATTTGAGTGATGATATCGATACATCATTGGTCATGACTGGATGATGTCAGTCAACATTGCGCATGCGTGATGTAAACACACTCATAATTCCCGCAGATAACATTTCTTCACAGACGATGACTGAAAAGTACGTAAAATCAATTAAATTCAATTGTGTCGCTATTATCCATTTCCGAATGGTAAATATAAGGTTCAAAATGCTCAGAATAGGGAGATCTAAATGTTTTGGTTGTTTATAACTTTGGGGCGCACTATGTCCGAAAGTAAAATAAACCATTTTTTCACCCAAATATGGCAAAATTAACTACCATAATTTTAATTTTGCCGGCAAAAATAAATCCTTATGAAATAATTCCGCCCATCTCGTATATCTGCAGTGAATGTGAAAATCTTGCTGTTGGCTGCAATTCCGTCGTATTTAAAGGTTGGGAAAGTCTTCTGTAGGTATAAATTTCTCTGCGGTTTGTTATTGCTGTTGTTGACATTCGAATGGTAGGTCGCAAAAAGTGACTGCCTGAGGCTTTTTTTTTTTTTTTTTTTTTTAAAGGGGGTTAGCCCACCCAGGCACAGGTCACTGACCCACATCGGGGCCTGGGGGGGCGAAAATTTAATAATAATAATACGGTAATTCATAGTAAATCAAATTTATAAGAA